TCCTGCTGCTTTTCCCACTGACTGGGAATGGTACCTTTCTTCAGTAGTGGAGTCGACAGCAGTGGACATGTCTATAGTGTCAGAATTAGGCCAGTAACTAGCATTACGTCACTCATACTGTTGACAGCAGCAAATTTGAAGAATGACAACAGAGTCGACATTTAAATAGACCGTGTAGGCATTTGCACACCAGCGCTGAATGAAAATTCTTTCAGACTGTTCCATATTGAATCATTATGGTAACTGGAACAAAATTTGTTCCAGCCACTGTTCTTCTTTTCTGGATGGGTTATTCATTCATTCATTCATTCATTCATTCATTTTCTACCGCTTAGTCCCTGAACGGGGTCACAGGGGTTAAAAAGCATATTTTTCATGCTAATACTTTTGTACTTTTACATGAGTAAAATTTTAAGTGCAGGGTTAAAGTGAATAAATTTAGAAAGTCCTCAAACAACTAATTCTGATGTTGCCTTAACAAAATAATGCAGACTGTGAGTGTAGAGAAGGGTAGGGATGAAGAACTACTAATTTAATTACACATCTGTATTTGATACAGCTCAGTCTTTTGATGACTTAAATATTGCACTTTGAAAGAGAAATTAAATATTGGAGGGACAATGAGTGTGCAAAGAGCCCTCTGACTAGGAGCTCAAAAAGTGAAGATAGATTGGCACCACAAGGTTAGTGCAGGAGTGGATTTGGTGAATTGAGTGTTGCAAGCCTGTACCGAGGCAAATGGAAGGTTTTCCATCACTCGACATCACTTGCCCTGGAGGTTGGTGAGCTCCATATCTTCCTTCCGGCGTTTCTGTTGGGTGAAGAGGGAGCTAAAGGGGTAGAGTTTGGCTTTGGCTGGGTAGCGCTGGCCAGCAATATCCACCTCATAGTCCCCACGGTTGATGAAGTCTGGGGTGATGGGTGTGGGCTGCCCCTCTGGGCCTGGTGGTGGAGATACAAAACCCAGGCAGACATGGCGCTCCAGGGTGTAGCTGTAGGCACTGCTGGTGGTTGTCCCAGCCAGCTGGCCGTTACGGTAGATGGGCTCCCCCCACCACGGCCACAGGTCCAGTTCAGTGTCATGGTCCTCTAGAACCAGCATGATGAACCGCCGAAACACACCGTCCTGGCGCTGCTGCAGCAACGCCTCACGTCCAATGAAGTCTGTGTCCTGATGGAGGAGAACAAGGGAGGTGTAGAGAGAGTAGTAGAGGAGAGGAGGAAGTAAAAGTTCAAGAAAAAGAGAAACAAAGAAGTACTGTTAGGTTGTGGAGCCTGGTCTATGGACAATTAATCTTCAAGTACTGCACAGCTCTGTTGGAATAAACACAGAAGCTACAGGAAACAGTGCTTTTTAATGTCCCACAATAAAGACATAGATTCCATTGACAACTGCTTATCTGAAAGCAATCAGTGAAATCCATTTTACACTGTGGGGTCCATACATTAAGACTATGTTAACAATACTGTAGGTTGCTTAGCAGACAATACACAGTATGTGCCACTGATTTTGAAATCAGACTGAAAGACTTTACAGCAGCAGCAGCTGTAAACTGCCACCTGTTGTGCTGCTTGGTGACAACAACCCCACACACACACACACACCCAGCAACAACTACAGCCCAGATGTGAAAGGTTTTAGCAAAGCAGGTGGCATAGTATCTTTTTTATTACTCTTTTTTCTTCCTTCATCTTCTAACCATTTTAAAGTAAAAAAAGATAAAGCAGTAGAAGTGCAAAAGTTAAGCAAGCGCTTCTAAATTGTATCATACAAGTCATGGTTGCTAAGTCAGTGTATAAGGGAATTACTGAATATCTTCTTCTTCAAAATTGCCATGGTAACAGCTAAGACGTGCTGCTGAAACAACAAACAGCCAAATAAAAGCTGTCAAGAAAGCAGAATTCAGGATCCACACAGGTCGATGTAACATGATCTGGTTACACAGCTGAACAGCAACAGACCTTATCAAACTTCACCCTGAACTCTCTTCCACACTCCAGTGGGGTGGTGAAGGTGTCAAGGTCTTGACCCCAGAAAGCGAAGAATTTCTCTATGCGTAGGCTGCGCAGTGCGTAGTACCCTGCATTACGTATCCCGTACTTCTGACCCACTGACACCACCTCATTGTACACATGCAGTGCATACTGTGGAGAGCAGGAGAGAATTAGACTTAATGAGCTGTACAATATTCAGCACTTTCTTACCAATCATAACCTGGAATGGTGATTAGACTTTGTGTGTGTGTGTGTGTGTGTGTGTGTGTGTGTATGCAGATGTGAGCAGGTCACACCTCTATAGGTATGTAGAGCATGAAACCTGGTTCCCCAGTGTGAGTCATACTCATCACTCTGATCCCGTTGGCATAGCCCACACTCATCTCCTGTAAATACACAAATACACACAAGGTCAGTTACTATTCCTGCCAATGTAAAGATAACAACCAGGCACAAACAGCTAGTTGTGCTACAGTTAGCAATACCACCACTACTACAACCACAGGTGCAACCTAGAGAACTGCTGCAGCTGTTACTCTACCTGTTAATAAAACCACTGGTACTACTGCTGTCAACACTATTATTACTGTATTTCTGTTATTGTAACTAGCCTTGGTTTCCTACCTTACAAAACATGGAGGGGAAGTGCTCAGGTGTCATGGAAACATACGACAGCTCAGCCAGAACATCCATTGCACGAGGGCCAATAAGGTTTAAAGCTGTGAATAAAAAGAACTAGAGAAAGTGTCTGACTAACAAAACTTAGCCCAATGTCAGGTACTTTCACCCTACAGGTTTCCTGACTCAGTTCAAAAATTATTTTAATGTAATAACTCAGTCTTTTCAAAGCATGGCTTCACGTGTTTAGTTTTACACCTAAAAAAAAAAAAACTGCAAATGTGTTGTTAAGGAGCATTAAAATACAGAGAAGATCATGTTTCATGAGTGTTTCATTGTTTGTACAAAGCCTGAGCTAATTCTCCTTGTAGAAAATATCAAAAGACATAAAAAATAAATAAATAAATCACTTGATCAACATGGGCACTCTACATGCTGTACAGTGACACAGGTAGGTTTTGGGACACAGATCCTCAGTTGGTGTTTAGACTTGTATATATTAAAAAAGAAAAAGAATTTTGGCCTAGTATTCCTTATATTTCACAGTTCAGATAATTAAACTACAAATATACAAATTATATTTTGGAGGTGTAATTAACCATCCACATGGTCCACTTGTGTCAGATTTAACAAACACCCAAACTAGGACACTTAACTGGGTTATAAGCAGAGTGAATGTGTGATACTCGTGCATTACTCCACCCTTTTTAATACTGTGTGGGCACTAGATGGAGATATCACCACAGGGACTTGACAAAAGTGCTGTGTGCTTACCTGTGTACTTCCAGCTGACATCCTCTAGGTGGAGGTGTGGATCATTGGGCATGTGTTTCTTGATCCAGGACCAACAATGGACCTGTTGGTCTGTCGGAGAAATGATGAAAAAGCTGGAGCCAGGAATGAAAATGTCAGTTATTGGAAACAGCAATAGTAGGCTGCATGTATACAGTGAAATTCTCTAGCCATTTCAAACCTGTTCTTGTTGAGGCGGACCACACTGCAGTCGTTCTCATAGCCTCCCCTCTCATTCAGCATGCCGGTGTGGATGATATGCCCAACAGGAACATCCAGGTCATTGGAACACAGATGTTGTAACAGCTCCAGGGCCTGGTCACCTGTTGACTGGGAAATCAAGACAGACCAGAAGGTTCAACACTAGGTACAAAACTCTTTGAATGAAGCTCATTCATTTAAAAAGTAGGAATACATTACTGGGGCATAAAAGGCTTATAACTGACAGAACTGTATACTCTGCCATCTTTTGAAAAAAATCCAGCCATTATCTAGGCCACTTATCCTGAAGGGGGTCGTGGGGGGCTGGATACAATCCCAGCTCACACTGGGTGAGTGGCAGGGTACATCCTGGACAGTCTTTTGGGAAAAAAAAAA